CAGGTCCTCCTCGTCTTCGAAAGCATTGTTTCTCTCTTTTTTCTTTTATTTTATCTGGAGTTATGTGTGTTTCTCTTTTTTTTATGAAGTTATGTGTGATTAAGTCTCTCTCTTTTTTATCTGAAGTTATGTGTGGTGTAATGTACCTAATTTACCTCGGTGGCATCAACAGGAGCTGGAGTTAGCACAGGAGTTACTTCCATGTAGCTATTCAACAGTTTAATTTGATGCCTTGTGTATGGAAACACTATGTAAGACCAGAGCAGTAATAGCCAAAATAATCAAGTTTTCTTCATTGTTCAGTGTTATATCGAATGGATAATTTTGAAACGGTTATGTTTGTGTATTTGCATTTAGTCTTGTGTGTAATAATTCCATAGAATTTGCTAGTTCGTGTTGTAGGACTTGATCTGTTTTTTTCAATATTGTTAATACAGAACTATTTGGAGGCTGTTATGTGATAGGATGATTGTTATGATACTAACTCCATTAGTGAAAAAATGTTAGCACTAGACCAAAGCATCTCTCCCATTAAAGGTAGTATTCAATGCTTAGGTTATAATGAATTTATAATGAAAGTAGTTGATGCCATTTTGCAGATGTACCATGAGACATTAGTGATTTAAAGTAATAGGGAAAGAAAAAAAACACCAATTAAATTTGATGTTTATATTAAAATTGTGAAGAATTTAAATTTCCTGTTGTAAAGAAGATAATCTTGGTGTCCCGTAAAAACACCAGGATATATATACTGTGATCAGGAATGGATGGCCAGATATTTTGAATAAACCTGGCGATGATGCAGTACTAATCTGGTGGTGATTGCCGTTACATATTATATTTTGCACTCTAGCAAAAGCCAACAAACCAACACTTTATCTTGACAAGATAGAGCTTACACAACTTCTTTATTAATAATACATTTTCAGAGAGTTCTACAAGCACAGAGGATGGTTGATTGTTGCTAGAGCACTGACAGGTGCAGAGAGCACACTTACCTGTTGCAGATGCCATTTGTTTATGAATTACAGTGTCATGCCATTGACTTAAACATCTTGATATTAGATTATCCTTTTTTTTTCTCTCTCTATTTTATGTTGTAAGTTATCCAGATTTTGTCTCCATTAAAAATATATATATATTGGTTATATTATTTAAATCATAACTGTAAGTAGTTAATAAATAAGTATTAGGCCTCATGAATGTAATCTGTCACAATTAGTTATTTCATACCAAGTGGTTTAATTTTTTTTATCTGTTCCTTTTTACACTCATTTTTTCATAAACTAATAAACTTTTCTTTTATAGACTTTTAAAGCTTCATTCTTACTTCCAACAGAAATATGGCAGAAGCCAAAGCAAAGGAGGACTATGTACACGTTAGCAAGAAGATGCGAACAGACGTCTGCAGTAATGCCATCGACAGCACCACAGACAAGAAGTGTGACTCTGACCATTCAGAAGAGAGAGATAATCTTTTCAAGACACTTGAAAACTTTGAAGTACAACGGATATTAAATAACTCTGAGGATCACAAAAGTATTGCTGTTGTTGGCCGCCTGAAAGGAAGGGAAGGAAATGCTGTAGTCATGTTAAAGGTATTTTTTTTTTTTTTTTTTTTTATCAAATCAAGCTTATATATATAGAAATAAAGATGAAAGGTTGAATGGTTGATACAGTGAAAAAAAAGAGTGTTTTCATATAATCATCATGTTGATCCTTTGACAGAAATTAGCCTTCAATGCAGAGAAATTAGAAGAGATATTTAGTGGCAAAACAGAAATTAAAACGTTGTTCCGCAATGACGTATACTACAACAGCACAGCATTGATGCCAAGAGAATTGAATGGTATGTTATTGGGTTATTGGAGTTCTTTCTTTTGCAAGAATGTTCGTATCAGAAATTTTATGTATTATAATACAGTGTTATCATGGTTGATATATATTCTATGTTCTTTGAAAAAAAAGTCCTTCTTGGTGTTAGATTTCATGCTAATCCCTAATGTTTGAATTGGGAATTTTGATTGACTTTTTTCTTAATCTGTTGTTATATAATTTAAACCACAAATAATTTCAGGTTCTGCTTTTTAAAAATTATTTTGCTGTTATTCTCAGACTCACAGGGTCAGACCTGTTAATCTTTAAAACAAAAACATCTATTTCTCTTACATCATCTGTATCTGTATAAGTTTCTTCTTCCTCTTCTTTTCAACTACCCTTTTTGTTCTTATTTTTCTGCTCTCCCATTTTTGATTTCATTTTCATTTTTGTTTTCCTTTTCCCTTCCATTTTCCTCCCCCTCCTTGTTCTGAGATTCTATCCTGAGGACTACCATTATCTTCCATTTCAGAGCTGGGAGCGACCATCATCTATCCAGCGGAGGAGAAGCACGTGCTGAAATATGAGAGGCAATCATCGTCTTTTGTCTATGAAACACCTGAGCTATACAAGGAGGTTACGAAACCATTCATTGAATCGGCTGCCTTTAGCAAAGAGGTAAGCAAGATGTATTACAAAGGCTTTGTTGTTTGTGGCTTGAGGAAGACCCTGATATTGGTTATTGGACTTTAAGATCACACTCTTCTGGGCCTCTTGCCTAAAAGGATTGGTGTGTCTTTGAAGTTCCCTCTGACCATTTCTAGGAAAAATGTCAAGATTAAAAGTCTATGGTTTCTCTCTCTCTCTCTCTCTCTCCCCCCTCTCTCTCTCTCCCCTCTATCTCTCTCCCCTCTCTCTCTCTCCCCTCTCTCTCTCTCCCCTCTCTCTCTCTCACCCTCTCTCTCCCCTTCTCTCTCTCTCTCCCCTTCTCTCTCTCTCTCTCTCTCTCTCCCTCTCTCTCTCCCTCTCTCTCTCTCTCTCTCTCTCTCTCTCTCTCTCTCTCTCTCTCTCTCTCTCTCTCCCCCCCCCTCCTCTCTCTCTACCTCTCTCTCCCTCCTTCTCTCACCTTTCCTTAAATTGGTGGGAAAAACATTTTTTTTTTTTTTTTACTAATGCTCTGAATATTGATGGCATTATTTTTATTATTGACATAATAGCTATAATGTTATAGACATTAGTAACAGCAATGTAACATAAGATATTTTCGAACACAAAGGAAACGGGTAAACAGGCAAGACTGGCAGTACTCGTAATTGGCTCTTTGGAGATGTAGTACAAGTATAGCTATCTATGTGTAAAAACATTTAATAAAGTAAATCCACAGTGGGCATGGCATACCATGCCCATTGGATTTGGATTAATACATACAATTGATCAACGTATCACAATACCAACATAGAATGTATAATTGATTCCTCTAGCAAATTATTTTTAGTAATCACATGTTTGTTGCCAATTTTTTTACTGAATCCTTATATGATCTTTAAAATTAAGGTTAATTAATTGATTGTTGTTAGTTCTTTCATTAATATCTTGTATGGGTAAGTGTAAGTAATCCAAGTACTTGCCATTAGGGCACACCAGTAGTCTACTTAGAAAATGCAGTGCAGGGGGTAATGTAAATATACTGTTAGATATAACCTACCCAAATTCAAGGTGCAGCACTGTAAGAACCTTATAAGAATTACATTTATATAATAATTTTAAACCAAATTTAACAGGCATGGCATTTACCTACATGCCATTGTGAGTTTACTTCATTGTTTTTACACATTGACATCACACATTACACATAATATCTATAATGAAAATAGCACCATCAATATTCATAGCATTAGTAAAAAAGATAATGTTTTTTTTCCAGTAATTCAGGGAAAGGTGAAATCAGGTAAGGTCACAAGGTCTACTAATTGACTCCTTTGTGGCTAAGCCTTCTATGTGCTGAGACATTTCACAAAAAAAAGAAAAGGAAAAGAAGAAGAAGAAGAAGCACAGCATTCCCAGTGGCATTAAGATATATATATTTTTTTTTTGTTATCAGGAAGCACAATTACATAATCTCAGTGATTGCAATGTAATGGTGGTACCCTGTTGAAAGTGCACATCAACGTTGGAGAATGGATAATTGGGAGAATTTTGGATTTTCATGCTCACTGATTTGGCTTTCAAATCCACTACACTGTTTTGCCTTCGTGCTGTAATTACTGTAAACATGTATGTACGTGTTTATAAGTCACCTGGTATCCTTGATATGCTTCCATTCAGCCCAGATTAGTAGGCAATAGGGGACCACTTGTTATGTGATTGTAAAGTGTAGCTGTCAATCCCTGGACTACTATTCCTATAACCCATGATCTAGGTCTTAACCTGTTGGATCTTGATGCCTCACAGCCAGCACCTGGACCAAAATCTGGGCATTAAACTTATTTGAGTGGCCACTCTCACAGGTGTGTGGCTTGTAGATCCAGCCTATTTGAACACTAATGCAACACTATCAACCTGTTTTCTGCAGACACATTTTTGCCATTTTGTCATTTTTAGAGGTTATATTATGGTTTGTTATGTTTCAAGATTGTAATAGACTGCTTTGTTGAAGAGACTCCAGATTATCTCTCCAGAAAGTTTACACTCTTTGTAATATTAGTAACAATAAGTACCCCCCCCTCCCCATCATCCAGTTTCCCAGAACACCCTGCATTACCAATGGCAGGCAAGTATAGCTTCCTGCATGTGGACATTGCATCCTATCTGGAGATGGCCCTCTCCCAGGCATGATTCCTGGATGGTACATTCCACCCCTCATGGATCAATGGAAATCCTACGGGAGCTCAAAAATGAGTCCCTCCAAGTGCTTTGTACACAAATGATGAAGTCCACATCACCCATCACTCAGCAACAATTTCCTATGGCAAGGCTTTCCTATCACCCACCCCTCACCCAATTTTTTTTTTCCACAATGAGATTTTCCTGTCAATTGCCCCTTGGCTTAAAAAATTTCATGACAAGTTATCTTCATCAACTGGATTCAGTGAGTTTAGCCATATGTATTTCTCAGAATTATTGTTAAAATAGATGTTGACTTCTATCTTGACCATTATCTTTATTGCATGGCCAGTTAGCCTAGAAAAATAGGCAAAAGGAAAAATAAGATTAGAATGACCAATAATGCAAGGCCCATGTATGTGATACCCCTTCTTATGGAAATACTAAAGGATTGATGAACTACCATACCTAACTTCATGGCTTAGTTTGTCGCATTGGTTTATAATGTTAGTGATTCTATTTAGAAAATGAGGTGTACAATATTTATACTGATAAAATAGTAGAAATTAATGGAATGTACACATAACAAAGATACTGTTTATTTGTTTATCTCTCATTTATAGATATCAGAATAGTGAGAATGTTTAGTTTAATGTATCATGTACCTGGATTTCTTCATAACACAGTTATCTGCATATCTGCTGTTAAAAGTAGTTTTGCAAACTATACATAGTATTTTGCTTTGGAGGGAATAGAACATCATTTAAAGTGTTAGGCCAAGCATATATTAATTAGTTGGAAAGTGGAAGGTATAAACTTATTCACACAGAGTTTAACCCATTGCCGCTGGGGAAAATTAATAAAAAATCAGGGAAATGCTGTGATAATTTTTTATATTTTTTGTGAAATGTCTTTATACATAGATACTTCTGCTAGTGCCTAGCCTTACCTGAATTCACCTTTCATTGAATTGGCAGGAAAAAATATTTTTTACTAGTGCTATGAATATCAATGGTTTTATTTTTATTATAACATTATAATTACTATAATGTTATAAACATTAGTAATAGCAAAATAAGATAACGTAAAATATTTTCATAAATTAAAGAAAAGGGTAAATGTGCAAGACAGGCAGTACTCATAATTGGCTCATTGGTGACTTAGTACAAGTGTAGCAATCTATGTGTAAAAACAATTTAATGCAAAATTAAGAAATTATTATATACAACATTGTTCAGTGTACACAAAATCAGACAAGAAAAAAAAAAACTAGGTTTAATTTGGTACTGTTACTAGCAATAGTGCACCTAAAAGAGAATGTTGTAAGAGAGATTTTACCCCTCCATTAATTTGAATGGAACTCCTTTAACCCATTCGCGCCGGGTGTCACTGTGAATTTACTTGCTTAATTGTTTTCACTCATAGATGGCTACACTTGTACTTGTACTGCCTGTCTCGCCTGTTAACCCTTTTCTTTAATTTACAAAATTATTTTGCGTTATCTTATTTTGTTGTTACTAATGTTTATAACAGTATAGTAATTATAATGTTTATATTAGAAATAACCATCGATATTTGTAACACTAGTAAAATACATTTTCCTGCCAAATGAAATCAGGTAAGGCAGAGCCATCTAGTGTAGAGAAATTTCATAAAAAATGAGCACAGAATTTTCCCCATTTTTTGTTCATTTTTACCCGGCACGAATGGGTTAAGAGGATGAAACCTATGCAAGATTGAAATGCAGAATCCTGTACAGACAAGTTGATCTTTTCTTATGTTCTATGTTGCTGAAGAACCCTATTTTTCTCTTTGCAGTGGATATATAATATTTTAGATCACAAAAAAGAAGAAGATCGTATTGTTTTTGAGGATCCAGACCCAGAAATTGGCTTCATCCTCTTACCAGACATGAAGTGGACTGGAGAACAGATTGAAGATCTGTATCTTCAGGCTATTGTTCACAGAAAGGACCTGACATGCATCCGTGACCTTAGAGGCAACCACATTCCTTTGCTAAAGAATATTTTGAAGAAAGGAACAGTAAGCAGGTTTTCTTTTTGTGTAAAAAAACTAAGTAGATAAACTTGGTTTATGGTATTGACCATCTACCAAAGCAACTTTTCATCTATCATATATTTGTTTTACTTAATTTTGATATTCTTCTGCATTAGCTTAACAAGCCAGAATTTGGTTAGGTGTGGCAAATGATCAGGCCAGTTATAATTATGGTAATTTCACCCAAACTACACTTGTCATTACAACAAAACTACTAGTAAAATAAATATCATTATATAGTACTATCCTTTAGAACAGTGGTTGTGTTGTTTCAATATGTGTCTTAATTTAGGAGCAGCAGCTTGTTAAGTGAAAGTGGTAAAACACATGATCTTGACACTTGGCAGATGGGTCATGTATAGGGTATACCTTGTTCATTGACAGCCAGCTTAATGGAATGGATATCAGCTAGGCTATTAGGGTTTTTTTCTTTTTCTTTTCTTTTCTGATCTCATTTGGAAATTCTTCAGGTATTCTTTTAATGCCTTCAGAGATTAGTTTGTTGACATGTAATTGCAGGGGATTTTGCCAGTTTCTTAATTTTGATACTTTTCACATGCAAGAATTGATTTTTTAAATTTAGGAAGTATAGTTATGTATATGTGTCAGAGCTATTTCTGTGAAACACCACTTTTTATTCTACAGGAAGCTATAATGGAGAAGTATGGGGTACCAGCACACAAGCTCCGTATATATCTCCACTACCTGCCATCATTCTACCATCTCCATGTTCATTTCACTGCCCTCTCGTTTGATGCTCCAGGTATACATGTGCACCCAGTTTGATTTCTTCTTTTAGTTTCTGAAGTGATTCCTAGTTTGTATTTGTAATGATGACCACTCTCTCCAGTACAAGTATTTGAATTTGATTGTTATATATATCCAGTAAGTAGGAATGGGAATGCCACACTCTTTATTAGGGTGAGATTTGCCTTTATTTTATCAAATGAAGATTTATATAATCCTTAAAGGCTTAATTTTCCTTTTCTGGATTCAGCTTCTATAAAGATCAAATTAATATGAGGTTAGCCTTCTAAAGTTCAGTATTCAGGTGTATAAAAACAATTTAAGAGCCAGGGTATTATGTTATAGTTTACACAGACTTACAGAATGAATGGTCAGATTAATTATAATTCTCAGAGTACAAGTATTTGAATTTGATTGTTATATATATCCAGTAAGTAGGAATGGGAATGCCACACTCTTTATTAGGGTGAGATTTGCCTTTATTTTATCAAATGAAGATTTATATAATCCTTAAAGGCTTAATTTCCTTTTCTGGATTCAGCTTCTATAAAGATCAAATTAATATGAGGTTAGCCTTCTAAAGTTCAGTATTCAGGTGTATAAAAACAATTTAAGAGCCAGGGTATTATGTTATAGTTTACACAGACTTACAGAATGAATGGTCAGATTAATTATAATGAACCACCTTTCAGTTAGCCTATAGATGTGGTACAAGTAATTTAAAAACCCTGATTTTTTTCTGAATGAGATTAATTATTTTTTATTTAATTGATTCATTGATTTTTTATATTTTGAAATCATTTTGTTATTTCTCAAAGCATAACCTATGAACAAGATCAAGAGCATGAGAGAGGGAGAGAGTGCTTGTATTTTTTCTCTTTTTCTGTCACATTCTTTAAGACCTATGTCTAGAAAAAAATGTGCCTCATAAAGCAAGTCATATAAATTCTCATGCAGGACATTGTAAGTTAGTTAAGGATTACTGTCTTTCTTAACCTTCTCACTACATATGAAGAGTTGAAATCCCACTGTGAAGAGCAAAAAGAAATATAAAAAATATAATTCAGATTTCAAAAGATAGATTTGGCATCTTGCATGAACCAAATATATAGTTTCAAACTGACATAGTTCTCCATTAATCTGGAAAAAAAGAGCATTTATGCAGCATTTTAAGCAACAGACATCATGCTCCTCCAAGAACACACATGCAAGGGGGAGATAATGTGTAGGAGGGGGGGGGTGATGAGGGACCCCAAAAAAGCATGAACTTAAGCCAGAATTACTTAGTAGGTTCAAATGCAAATAACATTTCCTTTGAACATTATATTGAAAATATTCCGATAGATTATAATTTACAGAATGAAGTAATTTTTTCATGCATACATGCAAAAGATGTTATGAAGATGTTATGTGGAAGTGTAATGAGTAATTATCAGTTTATCCTCTTTATCTTGAATGAATTAATTAGGTCTTCCTCATTGCTTAAACATTGCTGTAAATATTTTTTTTTTTTTTTTATATATGCGTTGAAATAATGTTTTAATAACTCAAATTGTATTACTGATCTATTTGCCAAAGTTCTTGAGGATTAATCTGCTTTGAAAAAATACTAAACAGAAAAAAGGTGGCATGACAATGTGGCTAGATTGTTCAGTGAGCAATCGAGCAAGAGATGAATAACTATTTATTTTTCTTACATTTAGTTATCATGTAATGGAAATGCAAAAGAAAGTCTGTGAATGTAGTAGTTGTATATTTTTTTTTTTTTTTTTCTTTTCTTTTTTTCTTTTTTTCTTGTATGCATTGAAATAATGTTTTAATAACTCAAATTGTATTACTGATCTATTTGCCAAAGTTCTTGAGGATTAATCTGCTTTGAAAAAATACTAAACAGAAAAAAGGTGGCATGACAATGTGGCTAGATTGTTCAGTGAGCAATCGAGCAAGAGATGAATAACTATTTATTTTTCTTACATTTAGTTATCATGTAATGGAAATGCAAAAGAAAGTCTGTGAATGTAGTAGTTGTAATATTTTTTTTCAGTAATTGAAATATTCTACATATCTGATACATTGCCTGCTTTGATCATTTCTTCTAAGTAAAGGAGAAGGAGAGCTTAGGTTTATTGCTAATAATTTTTTAAAGATTAGATGCTGTTTTATCAAATTATTTATCATTTACATAATATATTAGTGAGAATAAAGTACCCTCATTACTTACAAGTCGGCCTAATCATGTATAGATATTTTAAAATCAGAAACTATTACTGTAAGAATATATTGTATAATAATAGATGAGACTTATTTTGCCAGAAAAAGTAGTATAATAAAAATATTTAGGAATTGGTATACATAGTAAACACTGTATTGTTCTTTTTCAGGTTGTTTCTCGGGATAGATGTTCATTAAAGGAGTTGAAGATATTTGTTCATATAGTGATTGCAAGAGAAATGGAATTTTTTATTTGTATTACCCTTTTTTTTTTCTTTTTTTTTCACCGGAAGAAACATGGAGCAATGGCATTTCTACTCCTGTGTATTTTTTTGATTAAAGATTAGTCATTTTAGTGCAGAATATTCATTATTATTATTTATCGATAACGTTTGGCTGCAGCATTATCATTAAGATTAAGTAGAAATGAACCTTAAAAGCTTCTATTTTGTGTATTTAGTTCATATGTAGTTGTTTGATAGGTTCTTCTTTATATTATTATTTTGTAAATTTTCTTGGAGTTTGTCATTAGAATGGGTAAAGAGCATTGGAACTCTAAACATTTCTATGTAATATTTTATATTAAAAGTTTAATTGTATTTTTGTTCTTATTACCCAATAGATGTATTTATTTGTCTTAGCATTCAACAGTGAATCCTCCTGCCAGACATAACAAATTTATACAAAGCTTTTCTAACAAAGAAAGATATGAAATAAAAAGAATAATTTTAAACATCATATCCATATGCAGTATTGCTTCCTTAACCCACTGCCGACAGACATGGCATCTACATACATGTCATGCCCACTGTGAGTTTACTTGTTTAATTGTTTTTACACATAGATGGCTACACTTGTATTAACCCATTGCCGCCAGGGAATATGAATAAAAAATGGGGAAAATGCTGTACTCATTCTTTATATTTTTGTGAAATGTCTCTGTACATAGATGGCTCTGCTAATCCTGATTCACTCTTGGTATTTGATTAACCCATTCATGCCGGGTGTCACGTATACGTGACATATCCACTGTGAGTTTACTTGTTTAGTTGTTTTTTCACATAGATGGCGACACTTGTACTTGTACTGCCTGTCTCGCCCGTTTACCCTTTTCTTTAATTAAAAAAAAATATTTTACTATATCTTATTTTGCTGTTACTAATGTTTATAACATTATAGTAATTATAATGTTTATAATAAAAATAACCACTGATATTCATAGCACTAGTAAAAATACATTTTTCCACCAATTCAAGTAAAGGTGAAATCAGGTATGCCAGAGCCATGTAGTATAGAGATATTTCACAAAAAATATAAAAAATGAGCACAGCTCATTTTTAACCCAATGGTGCCAGGGAAAATGAACAAAAAATGGGGAAAATGTTGTGCCCACTTTCTATGTTTTTCGTGAAATGTCTGCCGGTAGATGGCTATGCTAGCGCCTGATTTGAAATGGCGGGAAAAACGTATTTTTCACTAGTGCTATGAAAATCGATGGTGTCATTTTTATAAACATTATAATTTTTATAATGTCTTTTAACATTAGTAACAGCAAAATAAGATAACGTAAAATATTTTGTAAATCAAAGAAACGGGTTAACGGGCGAGACAAGCGGTACTCGTAACTGGCTCATTGGTGATTTAGTACAAGTGTTGCCATCTATGCGTGAAAACAATCTAACAAGTACTCATGATGGGCATAGCACATACGTACACGTCATACCCGGCACCAAGGGGTTAATGAAATTTCTCTGCACTAGATGGCTCTGCTTTACCTGATTTTACCTTTACTTGAATTGGCGGGAAAATGTATTTTTACTAGTGTTACGAATATCGATGGTTATTTTTATTATAAACATTATAATTACTATAATGTTATAAACATTAGTAACAACAAAATAAGATAACGCAAAATAATTTTGTAAATTAAAGAAAAGCGTAAACAGGCGAGACAGGCAGTACAAGTACAAGTGTAGCCATATATGTGTGAAAACAATTAAACAAGTAAGCTCACAGGGAGCCCGCTAGGCGTGAATGGGTTAAATAAAAAAAAAAAAGATTAAGTTCAGACTATAAATAAACTTTTTGATAATTGGCTCTATAGGTTTGGTGTGTGTATGTGTGATGGTGTATATATATATATATACATTTATATATATAAAATGTATATATATATATATAAATATATATATATATATATATATATATATATATATATATATATATATATATGTATATATACATATATATATATATTTATATGTATATATTCATATATATTTATATATATAAATATATATATATATATATTTATATATACATACATATATATATATATATATATATATATATATATATATATATATATATATATATATATATATATATATGTATATATATATATATATATATATATATATATATATATATATATATATATATATATGTATATATATATATATATATATATATATATATATATATATATATATATATATATATATATATATGTATATGTATATATATATATATATATATATATATATATATATATATATATATATATATATATATATATATATATACATATATATATACATACACACATATACACACACATACATATTCATATATATATTGTATATATAATTTGTAATATATATATATATATATATATATATATATATATATATATATATATATATATATATATTATATATGTATATTTATATATACTATACATATTTATATATGCTATATATATATATATATATATATATATATATATATATATATATATATATATATATATATATATATATATATATATATATATATATATA